ATATTAACGATAGGTATGACGTATTACGATGAGAGGTGATTTTTGCTCTACAGGTATGTGTTTAAAAGCAGAAATGATACAATAATACAAATAAAAACACTTAAAATATAATTTGTGTCCAAAAAAAGTCTGTGGGAAAAAAATTGAAGTTAATTGTTCCTTTTTCATTAGTGACTGTGTAATGATTTAAATTTTGTGGATGAAAATTTTATGGTCACGTTACCTTGGGTATATTCAGATTAAGATTTCCTTGCTAGTCTTAGAAAATAGATGCTTGAGACGAATGAAGCTTAGCAGACAATGATAAAATCAAGCCACAAAACATCTCTTGGTAAAAACGGAACATACGTTTCTTCTGTCACAACTCATGTTCTTGTTTTCTTAAGGCTAACTGAACCAAGATTCTCTTCAAGGATGACTTTAAGATGTATTAGAAAAGACAAACACACAGTCAAACACTAAGCTACAGATATATTCAAATTAAAGTAAAGAGTTTGTTTGTAGTTAAGCACAAAGCTACACAAAGGGTTATCTGTGCTCCGCCCACCACGCCTATCGAAACCCGATTTCTAGCGTTGTAAGTTCCCCACTGGGGGGGATATTTTATGTTATCTCGACGAGGAGGAGATTCGAACCCATGCTGGCATAGCCCAATGGATTATCAGTCCATCGCCTTAACCATTCGGTCACCTTGTCTGTATAATTAAAGGGATCGGTAGGAGAGTGCTATGTATTTACCTACCTAAGATACTGCATTGAGGGTAAACATGTAAAGAAAAAGGTATAACATCAGTTGAACAGATGTCTCAGTTCATAGTGAGGTACAAGTATTTTTATTGCCAGTGGATAGAACGTAGATCTATGATTAAGACCTTCACAAGGGTGTAACTAATATGTTCCTTTGGCGCATACAGGAAATTAAGAAGAAATGGTTAAATAGGATGATGAGTTCATCATAAGGTGTTTCAACGTGTGTTAACAGGTGATTATGCCATCAGCATTGTAGTCTAGATTTAATTATGAGTCCTAACAGTTACAAGTAAAACCATTATTATAACAAGACAGCTATTATAACAGTACATATATTAGTTTTTGTCACTGTGTTTTAATATTTCCATTATTTGAACAAAGCAAATATTATAGGACAGAAACTTTTACCATTATTCGTCACTTTACGTATAAAACACTTCGACATTTCATTAGTTCTATAGCTTTCACTTCTCTTGTATCCGATGTTCCATTTTAAAAATATTGAACTAGACAGTTAGCCAATTATATTTAAGTTATCTATTTAATATACCTTTAATATACTGATTATAGTTTTGCTTCTATATTTAATTTACAGGACAAATGTTTTCCATTTTCTTACATTTTATATGTATAATGCTTATCACTAATTTATTTCTATGATAAATTTGTCGTAGAACATATATTCTCCTGAAAAGGACACTTATTTAGATCTCTAAATAATATACAATAATTATTATGCTTAGCCTTTTAACTCAAATTGTTCCACTAAATTTTAAAGGATCTACATATAACTGTTCTTAGCTTTCTATAGAAAGCGTTTACTACGGATAGGTCACACTTTCAATCTATTACTGATGCATCCTAGCTGATAGCAATTGGAGAAACTCGACCCATTGTGTAAAACCAAGTGACGTTATGTCACAGAAGAAAAAAAATCTTTATGTTCAATCTATGCTAAATGTATAATGACTTTCGTGGGTTACATGCATGCCCGAATGCATGGCATTAAGAATGATCATATTCCTTTAAAAGTCTTCTTTTGCTATGGATTTCCAATGAGGCGAAACATAACGTCTGGACTATGCACAACTTGCAATGCACCTTTCACTCAGTACTTGAGTTGGATGGAATGCAACATCTAAAGTTTAATACCTTAAAAATGCTGTAAATAGAGTTTTAACCAAGACTGCTACATTTTTACTTGAGCTATGATGTTACACCTGGCAATGCACTCTGTTGCAGCAGACAACCTCCGTCATCAAGTGTCATGGCAGAACGACATATTGCGCTGGTCATGGCGACCTAGCAATGCACCTTCGGGTTCTACTTAGTGGAACTATGACGTCTTCGTCTCTATATCCTCCCATTTGGGGCAGCCAATCAGTGCACCTTGTTTGAAGACCTGGGATAATTACTCACATAACAATAACTATCTGATTGTTTCAAAACGAAGAAAATGGTTTTTGAAAGCACCAAAGTCTCCCTAATTAAAATATGTGTATATTTATTTGAAGAAGTAGAAGATAAAACTATTAAAATTGATGTAAAGGCAAGTAAGAGTACATTTATGATAAACAGAGGTAGAAACGTAATCTGGTCATGTCATTGTTAAACATGATATTTAATGTATTCGAATTATTGTATTCTATACGAAGAAATTTCACTTCTACACAAACACATGTTAAATATTGGCTATTTGGCTCATATTTTAACGAAGATTACACGCAATTTCTTAAAGAACAAATTCCAACCACCAGCAAACGTGCACACCGATCCCAAATTTCCCCTCTTTTATGGGTTCACAATCCTTACAAATTGAAAAAAAAAACTCTCCTCTTTAATAGAAATATTTTACTCTCAAATTCAGCTTAGACTAATATACAGACCTAGCCTCCGCATTAAAAAGATTATTTCAATATAAAGATCAACTACCTAAACTTCTACGTTCGTGGCTTGTGTATAAATGAGTGATTAATGATATTATAGCTTTAGTTAATAACTAAATGAACTAGTGATTAATGCTACTATAGTTGTAGTTAATAACTTAGTAAACTAGTGATATTAGTAATAATTTTATTTAGTAATAAACTAAACAAGAGAAGAATAATAAATACACTGTAAATATCCCACAGTGCCTGATTTTAAAATCCTCCCTTTCAGAGTTAAACTTTTTTTACAAAATATCACACTTTAACTTTGTTTAGGTGTTTTCTTTTTCTTGAATTTCGTGCATAGCTACACGAAGATTAACTTGGATTAATCTTGTCAGATCGAATACTGGAACCTGACCATCACTTTTCTAAATCACCCATGGCCCAAAAGTGACTGCTTGTTTGTTGTTTTTGTGGAGGTAGAAAGGGTTTGTTTGTTTTGAAGTTTGCGCAAAGCTACACGACCGCTATTCGTCCCCAGTTTAGCAGTGAAAGACTAGTCATCACCACCCACCGTCAATTTTTGGGTTACATCTTTATCAAGGAATAGTGGGATCCATCGTCCCTTTATAATGCCCCCCGGGTGAAAGGGCGAGCATACTTGGAGTCGGAGATTCGAGGGTAGAAAGGGAAGAGCCATGGAACAACATATCTTCAGCCCGGTATACTATCCATTATGTCGTGCTCAGCCCCACTCTAACTACTTGTACCGACTGTTGTATCGTGTTAAACATAAATGTTGTTCATCTAGTGGATTTCACAAAGGATAACCTCCTATAGTTGTGTTTCTGTTGTGTTATTTTCGGTAGATCCTGTAAATGTGAGAAAATCAACGAGATTATAACACATGAAACAACTCCTCTTGATACGAACACTTTATTTACTGAATATTATATAGTTAAATTAGGGCAAGATCTAAAAGAATTCCAGCAACATTTTCTAACTTTAAAAACTGACCTCATTTGCTTTTTTTGATATAAATAATAGCTAACTAACTTAACTCAGCAAATAAAAAATACATATGAAATCAAAACAATCCTGAAAATTAAGACAACAATGGAAATTATTTCTTCTATCTTCATGTACCTTGGTGTCAGTTAGGATATAACTCATTCAAATATTCTACATTACATATCCATATTATTACAGAAAATTCCTATTATCAATATCTTAGCTAAGTTGTTAGGGCTCCTGACGGGTTTGAATCCCTATCCTCCCACACATGCTCGACCTTTCAGCCAATCAATACTATTATTCGTTGGTAAAAGAATAGCTCAATAATTACTGATAAGTGGTGATGACTAGCAGCCTTTCCTTTAATATTTCACTGCTAAATTAGGGACGTCTAGCGTGGAAAGCCCTCTGGTAAATTTGCGCGAAATTTAAACCCAACCACTTGTCAACTAAACTTATGAACCCCTAGCGGGTGATTTATTTATTACTTTAAGATAATTCTGTGTTATTATGTTACTTGTTCAGAGAAAAATATATATATTCTTTTATTATTAACATTTTTCTACCATTACTATATATTCATATATAGCTCTAGATGAGAATAGTGCGTATAATATACTGAGTGATGAGTCTATTTCCCAACTGAGAATGCCATGAGGGGTGATGAGTAATCCACATCGGAACGCTTCAGTATTGGTGTATTTATACTGTTACTGTTTAATCGCATGCTGCACAACTCTTAAACATCCAACAGTGGGAGAGTGAGAAAAACTACAGGCTTGCAATATTCATGAGTAATTGGATTCCTCAGAAAAGGCATAAGACAATAAGAAAGAGAGTTGAGGTATCATGTGCAATAAGCCTTTTATATTTATAGTTTTTAACTTCTCAATTCTATAACTTATTCAAATTCTACTATACATATGCATGACTAGATATGTACACCGAACTTACCACATATTATTGAACTGTATTACATGTGTTTTAAAAAGATGGATGGTGTTTCTATAGGTGGATGATATTATTTGGTCAACTGTATTATTAAGTTTAGTGCTGCTAGGACAAATGGTGTTTCTATTTGGATGAATTTAAGGAGGGGGATGACATCATATTTTGATACCAGATGGCTTGTTATTATAGGTGGATGCCGTTACTAAGGTTATATAGACAGATGATGTTACAAAGGTTCTAAAGGCAGACAGTGTTATTAAATTTCTGTAGGTGGTTTGCATTACTAAGTATTGTGTTTGTATAGGCGAATGTTGTATTTATCCAGATAGTCTTACTAAGGATAATGTTTATATAGATGCACAGTGTTGCCATACTTCTGTAAGAATGCATAAGGATTTCAACTTGTCTCAACTTATGTTTAAAGTTCCTTTCCATAGAATTGACGAATAATGTACAACAAGAGCAATAACATTTTAGTTAACACATAAGTAGTTATCCGAAGTGTTCAGACACCTCACACTGATTGAGTGTCTAAGTGGGGAGAGGGTAGACACAATGACGTCATAGTTCAAAAAAGTGGAACCAGAAAACGCATTGCTAGGAGCATGTAGCTAGGTTACCATGACAAGCGGAAACTGTCATACAGCCATTACACTTGACAGCCGGAAGTTGTCATGCCACCATGACACTTAACGATGAACAATGTCTGCTGCCAGAAAACGAGCTGCTAGGTGCGACATCATAGTTCAAGTGATATTCAATAGTAAGCATGGTACCAGAGAGTGTTGCTGTCTCAACTTTTCCAACATACCTTTCTATTTCAAATATGACGATCTCAATTGGATTTGTTTAATTTCATCTTTGAAAGACTCTTCTCAGCAGGTTAAAATGTCATTGCATTTAAAAACAGAAGTATGTGACTACTTTACACATTAGTATAAAATGATGCTAAACAGTTTTAGTAAAATAATCGCAGTGTTCTAATATCGGATAATTAAACCTTGCTATTCAACTAATATATCAATTGCATCATTATCTGACTTGCTCCATCGTCGTTATATAGAGCAGCAGGTAAACATCTATGCGTGATTTTACTTGTTCGTTATTTCC